CACGGAAACAATCATCACGAAAGGACGTCACTGAGCACAAGTCATATCGAAGTATCTACAGGCCACATTAATCGACTTTTAAGGACACTTCCACAACCAGTGGCCTCTCACAGAATACACAAAACAGTACTAAAAACATAAACAGTAATTCCGGTAACGGTGAGGCAGAGCTGCACAGCGCTAATTGCTTCTAGTTACCTCTAAACCCCTCCCCCAATCTTGCGTTCGCCCTCTCTGCATTTACGCAACCTCTAAAATAGTGGCAATTTGTCTTCATAAAAGTAAACATCGGGACGGAAGAAGGTATGTACTTCGAGGTAAGTGCAGGTGCGACACGCTCAGCTAATCTATACCATTTCGTATTTCTGACACGCGCGAACTCGTGTTTCTTGATGTCTGTTATTTTCTGTCGTCCTACCAACTTAGTGGCCAAATTGTCTGCTTTAATACGAAATCTATATCACTCGGTAACACGAGTGAAATAAGAGAGGAATTAGAAAAACGAGGCCATACTGTCCGCAATATACTAAATATCAGGAATTGGCAAAAAAAAAACACTGCCATTGTTTTTCATAAAACTATAACCTAAAGAAAACAATAAGAGCATATATGAAGTAAAACAACCGTATCACCGATCAGATTCTTCAGAGCCTACCTAAAACGCCGTCCTACTTTGATGATCTCATAATTCACGGCTCGACAAAAGAAGAATATCAGAAAAAACCTTGAATTGTGTCTCCGAAGGTTTAAGAAATATGACAATCACTTGAATTGGAAAACGTGCTCCCTCTTCCAAGAGCGAATCGAATATTTGGGACACGTCATAGAATTTAACAAAATCTCTAAGAGCCCAGAGAAAATCAGAGCATTAATTGATATGCCAAGACCTTCCGATGTGGAAGGATTACGCCGATTTCTCGGGATGATCACCTACTACTCACGATTCTGCCAAAAAATTCCTCAACCACCTTTTCTCTTCGACAGCTTCTTCGAAAGGACTCAAAGTTCCGATGGACGGCAGCACGCGAAATAATTTTCATTAAACTGAAAAGGGGGCCGCGCCATAGCTCAAGCGGTTAGTCGCTGGCTTCCCATCGAGGCGGCCTGTGTTCGATCCCGCGTCTGGTCAAGTTGGATTTGTGGTGGACAAAGTGGCGCTGGGGCATGTTTCCTCCGAGTACTTCGGTTTCCCCTGCCAATCTTCATTCCACCAATTGCTCCACAATCACCCTCACCTATCATCTGGGGCTGATACAATAGGCCAGAAGTGGCCGCAGTACAAGGGACTTAGTCCCACACTACTAGCATTAAAGAAAACTGAAAGGGGAGATAGCAAGCGAACTCCATATGACTCAACATTTCCGGTCGTCCCTTCCTGTGATGCCAGCCCTGTGAAAGTTGCAGACTTCCTAACGCTGGAGTTGCAGGCGTCCTATCGCATATCATCGTTAGGCAAGGACGACCAATTGCGTTCACATCCGATCACTAACGGCAACAGAACGAAATTACCCTCAGCTCGAGCGTGAGACCCTCGCCATTGTATTCTCAGTGGATCATATTTTCAGTTATTTGTTCGGAAGACACTTCGAGCAGTTAACTTACAATCGGCCATTGACAAGAATCTCCTATTAATGCGCAAAATTACAACGAATGACATCAGGGCGGTTGCTTCGGCATGCCACCTTCCTCTCAGCACTCGACTATGAAGTGTTCTTCAATAAAGATATCGATAAACCTACTGCCAATTGTCTTTCTAAAACCCCGGTTGTTCAGAAGGAATTTTCTGCTGACTTGGCATGATTAATGCGTGACATCAATAAAGGAAATCTCAACTGAATGGTTAAATTCTGATGCAACCAGGAAGGCAATAGACTCAGATGAAAATTATCAAAGACCAAGCTGTAAATACAAAACAAACCGTAGCTCTCCTATGAATATACCCTAGAAGCAGGTTTTCTGTTTAAGGGTCAGCGGGTCATAATTCCAAAAATACATCGGAAACTATTTTTATACTAATTACATCGGACTCACATTGGCATTACAAAGATGAAACAACTTGCAGGCCGATATGCCTACTGGAAAGGAATGGGCAGAGACATTGAGCAACTGTCAAAACTCGCCAAACTTGCGCCGCGGTAAAGATCAATCCTACGAAGGTGCCAGTCCACCCGCGGGATGAGCTCAAGGAGAACTGGGATCGTATACACATCGACTATGCGGGAGCATTCCAGGACCATTTCTTCTTGGTATTTTGACGCAAAATCAAGATGGGCTGAGATCAGAATTTGTTGAAATCCTCCAAGATCAATTACTACCATTGAGATATTATCTGATATTTTTGCAATCCATGGCTATCCACATGTCATGGTCTCAGATAATACAACAAATTCTGCCAGTTACCAGAGAACTGTTTTATCTCAGAAGTGAACCGCCACATGGTGTGCACGCGAGTGCCGAGAGCTTGGGACGGGACAGAACAAGGGCTGATGCGTGTGCGCGTGGGAAGTTTCCAATATTCAACAAACACAATACAAGAACGTGAAACAGTATCATTTTCTGTTACTATTTCAATGTTAAGACACAACAACAAGAAATCGGACGAGAAATAATTTCACATAATTATAAATCTGATGTAACTATCAAATTTCGGTCCTTTCGTTGCTGTACTCTATAGAGACGTGAAATTTTCGTTAACCTGACCTAGGTCATCGGAGGAAACGTTGTGGATAAGCCATATATTTGGGCACAAAAGTATTTCGTATACTTTCTCACATTTGAATGATCTTGCGTAAGTTACCGCGGAAATGAGGTCGTTGGTTGTTTTGTAGACAATTTTTGGTTACAGATTATAAAAGCTAGGACACGCACGCACTTCGTAACCGCTTGGGCTCCAGTGCGCCTAGCGTTGTCTTCCTGTAGGTGCAACCTGTGCTTCTTTACTTAGGTCAGGGCCCTGAATACATTACTGAAATTTATCAAAATCGTTATATCGGTTTTCAAGAAATTCCCCTTTGGAGGAGGCGGGGATTTTATGGTTAAAGCCAGAATGTTCACATTCATCGGTCACCTAAACACCCCATAACTTCTTGGTTGGTTATTAACGATGCAGTATTAAATGCAGAAATTTACTGGCAACGAAGAGAATGTAAGGTTCAATTATGTGCATTGAACCCAAAGGACTCAGGTCAATGGTCAAGCTGTTGTGACGTTAATCTGGAGGGACTGTAAAATGACTTTGAAAGCCTCAGGGTATCTGCATCCCGGCTGCGTCATGTACTGAAACGTGTGCAAAGCTGTTCGGTTCTGTAACAGTTGTGGCACGGCGTTTTGACCACTGTCGGGCGTTGCTGTGTCCTCAGTGAGGTCCTCGGACAGTCTAGAAAACGTCTAGAAAGATGGGTGTTGCCGTTATACTTGGTACATCTGCTGGGGTGTGAGGAGAGGATCTCGGGGTTAAAGAATGGGCTGTGTGTACGAATTATGAAAATGTTAATAGTTTTAACTAGTCGCGCTATTAAAACGGAGTTCAGTGTTTTCTATCACTCTTTCAGAGCATACTCCATACAGATGTCATTATAACACATATTCATCCCTTCATATTACACAATCCCGTGTGTAGGTGGGGTCGAATACCTTCACCGTAGCCTTGCGAATCGTAGGAAGAGACGAAAAGGGAATCTCGAATCTGAGAGAGTAAAATATTGTCACGATTCCCACTGGACTCGGACCCGAGAATGACTGCGCTGACGAAGCCCAGCAGCAATTGTAAACGACAGACTCGTCCTCTCGGCAGAGAGAACTCCCCACATCAACTAACCCGCAAATGTCTAACAGAAATAAAAATCTGGTCGTAAGCCCCAGATGGGTGCTTATTCCAAGACAGATTGGCCGACTGACCGTCATATTACACAGGCGTATTGTTAGAAATCCTGGTTAACAATAAGCCCCGCCCTGATCGACTGTTTCTATTTGAGTAGTGCTCGGTCTGGGGGATCTAACGGTAAATTTGCATTTCAGTTGAAACGACTACATTACGAATCCTTCCCAGGCAATAACTGACTGGAAAACGTTCTGCCGTTTGAACAAGAGACTCAGCACTCAGCCACTAAACAGGGTGACTAGTGTTAATGCTCTGGACTTGTTTTCGAGAGGAGCTTGGATCTAATCTCAGCTTCAACAACAACTAACTTGACTGGAGTTTTCCGTGGTATTCGTTAGCCCCTCCAGGTAATTGATGAGGTCACGACCATTTCCTTCCGATTCCTTCCCAATTCATGGTCCACACGACCCTATATAGTTTCAATACCGAAATATTGTTAAATAACCAACTACAAAAAACCAACTCAGCTTGTTTTCTACCAGTACGCATAAACTGCATTTGTGACTCACATAAATCACCGGCCGGCATTCGAAACCCGGCCATCCAGAATATACCTCGGATTGAGCAGACACAGCTCCTGCTTGCTATGGATTCTGTTTCGACGTACGTATCTGATTTGTATTTTGTATTTTCGGTTAGCACTTGCTCACGCTGGTTTTTCGCTCGCGGATTACCTTCTTTTTTCTTCTACCCTGAAGATGGGGGCGATAAGTTCCTCCGAAACGTCCGTTAACACAATATATACACGGCGCCACATCCTAGAAGACTGCTTTCTTCGAATAAAAGTTTGTCCTCAATTTAAGTTCCACAAAGAAATTAAACGACATCGCATTAATTTTCTATTATTTCGTTCCGTGGGTCCGCGTGAACATTAGCAGTGCCATATATATCGCTTTATGCATTAGATCATATGTTGTTGAATTAACAGTGAGGCACATAGATCACTTTATGTAATAAAATAACATATTTACTCTCAGTAATTAGCCAACGGAGGAGAAGAGAGACAGGACCTATATTAGAAACGGAAGGAGTTTACGTAATTGAAGTTCGTACAAGTTTCATCAGAGTATGCCAGTGACTAACCAGTAACACTGAAACATCCCTTCACTTCATACCGTGACTAATTGTTCGGTCGATTTTCGGCGGGGAACTCAGCCGTATGCACAAGGACCTGCGTCTGTGTGTCTAACACAGCAAGACTAGCATCAGACAGAACAGCGACAGAGAGGCTTCCTATGGCATAGCTACTGCCAGGAACGTGTGGGGTTTGGGGTGTTGGGTTTTGTGGGGATGTGAAGTTTGCAGTTGAAGTCCGATCGATGCATTTGGTCTCTCTTTCTCTCTCTCTCACTCTACATATTCTGCTGGCTGTGTGCAAAGAAGCAGTAGTCAGTGATCATGAACCAAACTCTGTGGTGCTATTTGCTTGACCGTCTCACCTGACTCTACCTACCAGCTGCTGTCCACGTGTCGAATCCGTTCACTGCTTCTCCATTGGTCCAGTGATTGAGGCTAGCTCTTTCTAAGGGATCCAATAGAATAGGTGTGTTTCCCTCACCTGAGGACCGAAACAGATCCAGTTTCCGAAACGTCGTGTTTTTCTTAGTTATCTTAAAAACCAGGACGATGGATAAAGTCCGAACACCCAATGTCTATGTGTTCTCCATTTAAGCTTGTTATAGTATAACATATCCTCCAGGTTGCAGAATACGTTTATATAAGCAATCCCTGTGCTGACTTGTAGTGAAATTTGGACGCTCACAAAATAAGAGAAGACAAAAATACATATGTCAAGAACAATGTAAACTGTAAGGATGCCCCTGTGTCCTTAAGACGTGTGGAGAGGTGCAGGTACCGCTACCCTGAAACAAGGTGGAGGTCAGTGCTTAGCTCTATGCTTCCACACTCATACCCGGCCAGGCAGAGGGGACTGAACAGGCAGGAATTCCATTCTGGGTGTGGTGAAGCACGTAGCCGGTCACTGCACTGAATGAACCCTTCACGACAAGAAAGAACTTGGTCTGACACGTTCAAATTGTAGGCGAAAGAACGGCAAGTTCAAATAGAGTTGTCTCTCAGTTAAGGAGATGGCTCCAAGAAAATTATTATTAACGTAAATTTTCTTTAATCGAATGAAAGGAATAAGCGTGAAAAGCTTTATTCGTTCCAAGACGATCAGAAGATGACCTTCGCTCAGTTCATAATATTTAAACACTAAAAATTAATAAATGTACGCTATAAGGACATCTAATAGCTTCTGAGTAGAAACCGCACAGACTATTTAGGAGAGCTGTTTCCATTAACAGCGTACGTCAGACATGGAAAGAAAGCCAGCTGAACTCCAGACGCTCATAAAGGGGGTCACTGATTGGCTGAAGCCTGCTGAGTTCACTCAGGAGCAATTTGATGGCCGAAATTATTAACAACAATAGTAGGATCATATGGGAGGCGGATCGTTAATCTATGGCAAAATTAACCGAAGACCCACAGAAAATACATATATGAATTTGAACATACTTGCAAACTGAAAGAGTAGACGTTTCAGGGTTTTCACGGAGATGATTATCTAGATTGTGGTCTACTGAGTTACAAGGTCGTGTAGTCTTGTGAGTGGATACCTAAACGTCGGCATCAACCTGCAAGACTGCAGTCTGGTAGAAAGGATAACTACCTGTCAGTTGGGTAACTGCGGATTTTGANGGTGTCGAGCTTCCCTGAATAACGAGGTCTATCCACCCTCTTGTAAAACCAGCTGGGTGGAAAGGCAGAGGACGATCTCGAAACAGACGGGACGGTCAATTTGAAAATGGACCGATCCTGCTGGATTAACATTTAGTTACAATCACAAATGTCTAAATTCTGGTAGAAAGGATAACTACATGTCAGTTGGGTAACTGCGGATTTGGTACATTTAGAGCAGTCTTCAGTTAGACGTAAAGTTGTCTTTGCGCGTAAGCACTAGGATTTTTCTAAATGTTCTGATATATTTTTTGGATTGTGAGATCTAAATTTTATAAAGTTCCACGGTCATGCCTTACGTTTCGGAGAGCTGTTATGAGTCACAGTCACTGCCTTACGAGGTGTTGCAGGACTAACGCTGATGAGGACTCGCGCCAGACAAGGGATACGCCAGGCGTCTGGGTCCGGCTCCCCGCGTCTAGCCTGTAGTAAGGCCGTGGCAAGAGTTGACTCACAAGCTACTTCCGTAGAACACTTATGTTCCGTCTTCGATCAATTGGCACGAGTTCGTCAGTGAAGAACTTCGTTACCGACGGGCTCTCTTGGTTGATTCACATAGACAAAGAGAGGAATGCCACATGAGGCTCTGAGGAGACACCTCGCCTTTCCCACCATCCAAGCGACTTCCTTTTACTATTGCAGTGTAACTTACTGTGAGTGGCAAGCTCATGGTAAAGAAAATGCTTCAGGAGGTTCTCGAACGGCGGACTCACAGTTTACCGGAAACTTGCGGCACATTTACGCACACATAAACAATACTCTTTGGAACTGTATTAAAAGTGCAGTCTTGGAATATTATTCAGGCTACATCATTAAAATACAGTAAAACTTGGTTATAGCAACATCGGTTTCTGCGATACCTTGTCTATTGCGTCAAATATTCAATGGCACGAACTAATTCCTCATAAAGCAACTGGTTTTATACCTTGCTTAGTACGACATGCACAAATGCATCAACCTCGTATGTAACGTCATTTTCATTCCTGAATTTCTCTGATATGGACATTGAACGTAATTTAGAAAGTGTGTATTGGGCAAGTAACAGGAAACAGATGAAGATAACTGATTACTGTACTCGTATCTAGGTACAGTAAGGCACAACAATTGGTGTAATCTACTGTAATTTGGTGAGTAGGCCTACCTTTAATATACAGTATTAGTGCGGTGTGTATTGTCAGTGAAAAGCGCTGTAATATGTCTTTGATATTACAAATTTGGGCAATTCCATGTTAATGTTACGTTAGTCTGTACATAACTATGTATTTCACTAAAGAAATGCAACATTTTAACTCGGTTTTTGGTAGATTTTTACGTGACTAACATAAGGCTACTGTGGAAGTGCCCATTTCGGTTACAACGACATTCGTTTATAACGACACTATTTTTAGGTCCCTTTGATGACGTTATAACCCAGTTCTACTGTATGTAGTTACACCGGCTTATTTTCATGGCAGAAAATCGGCCTGCTGTGTACATAGTGATTGAGGCAGAACAGTCCGGTGTCTGGGAAGATGGAGGCGTAAGTTGGATGGCGATAATATATTTTTATGTTTTAAAGAAGTGTAGCTCTCTACCACTACAATATCTGCACGGATACACAGTGGATAATGTAAGATTATAATGTGGAATAATTACACCAACTAGGTGTTCGGAAATTCCTGTATGAACATTATCCACATTAAAGCAAAGGCAGTAAAGATCTCCAAAACGTGAATAAAACCCAAATTCTATATCTTATCCTCACCGCAAAACAAAATCCATAATATTACTCTTATCATAGCAAATACAAGCAAACTGCTTTTGTTATTGTTGCCAAAACATTCTGTGGCGAATAAAAGTTACTTATTTGTTTTTAATCTTATTAATTAAATAAAAGTAAATTTGTAACGAATACACAAATCCAGTACTGTTTACTATGTGCGCTGTCCTTTCAGATGAGAGACAAAGGGTTAGCCGTTGCAGTGCAAATGGGTGTGCAGCAATCAGTTGTGGTATCACGAAGTGCAACAATTTAAACAAATTACTATGCGTAAATCAAATCGGTGGTCGAAATCAGCTGTAAAATTCTACCAGCGCGTCGAAACAGGATGTCCAATACAATAAACAAGCAATTTGTTTGGAATTTGTTTAGCATTCCTTTGTCACAGTGTTTATACAGAATGCTTATGTGATCTGAATTTTGTTTCTTATACAGGGCGTTCAGTTGAAACGGAAACGTGTTCTTATGAAAGCATGGCTATAGCCTAACCGTGACCCTACAGGGAATAGGGAAGGGATCCATTCACTAAATGCGACAACATATAAACACGTGTATGTGTGAATCTCGACGGGGTTTTGGATTTGAGATTGGGTTTATTGACCACTTTAACACAAAACTTGTAAATACAGTACAATACACTTAATTATAACGCCATTGCTGATCTCCTCACTTTACAGGTCACTGTTGCATACACACTAGTGTTCTCAGTCTGTTACACTGTCCACTAGTTTTTTCCTGGTAATGGCTTCTAACAGTGGAGATTCTTCAGCTTTCGCTCCCACGCCATTGCCAGCTGACCATCGCCTCACAACTCAAATAAGGGCTAAACTTTCTCCCGCTTTTAATCTCTCGGCACGAACCAACAGAAAACAAAGTTCTTCTACTGTTCCGTGCATATATTTTGAGGGCGTTACATAGCAACAGCCTCTGTTTACAGAGTCTCCGCTTACCAACAGTTGCTCACACCACAATATAATATCAGAAATAAAAATAATATTAAGAAATAGCTCACATTATAACAATTATAATAGAGAGAAATTTTCTGCGTCATTTATGTATACGGGGTAATTTGATCCGTTTGCTTACTCTATTTGAGGCTTGTTACTAGTTCTGTTTCTTGCTTGCTTTGTCCTCCCTCACGATTTTCTTGAGCTATTCAGCGAGGCTAATGGAGCGTACCGTCTTCAGTGTTTCAGCAGGGTGATACTGATGTACATCTGAATTTAATATGTGTCTGTGTTATCCTACAACGGCACGAACGTCAGTCCAAGCGAGCCAACTCCCAAACGATACCAGCTCTCGGCGAATGTTTATTCCGTGTACTCGACTTGGATTCCCTCTCCTCCATCCGAAACTTCAGGCTGAGCCATTCTCTGCCGTCATGCGATGCAGTTAATGCGAAGTTTTTGGAAAAGGACATTTTGTTGTTTCGGATTACGCCAGTGTACATAATTTTTCTTTAGTAAAGCAGAACATTTAATGACAGAGGTTTCGCGGAAAGAGCGCCATTTTCTGCATATGGATATTTGGCGTAAAAGGAAATACTCCATGCGGAACGTGAATGGCCAAAGTAATAATTTAATTTGACAAAACTGAAACGTAGAAATGTGGACGAATATTTTCCTTATATATATTGTGACATGTTGCGCAAAGGAGAACCCCCCCCCCCACTAGCAGTGACGCGGCGGGTGAGTCAGCGCTCCGCTCCCCCTCCTCCGCACGGTAACGTAACGGTGACGCAACCGGATTGTTACGGT